TTGGTGGGTTTCTCTTTTTTCTTCACTTGTTATCTAATTGTACTAATTGTACTTCTTGGGCCAAACCAATGAAAGTGAAAAAAACCTGGAATCGATTTTTTCCCTATTCTGGTCGCCAAATCTCTTCATCATCGTCACAATAATTAATGTATCGATCATAAAATCGATGATCGATACCATATAATAACCAAGAGGAGAGGAGAGGGAGAGAAACCAACAAAAAAAAAAGAAAATGTTACAATTAAATTCATTAACTTTTTTGTTGCCTTGTACACGCAAATGTGTCACCATTTTTTTTTTGTTACTATGTGGGGAAAGGGGTGGTTAAAATAATATTATTTTATTAACCCTGCGTTAACGGTCTGGAATCATATGAAATATGATTTGAACCCCCTAAATAGAAAAGCAAAAACAAAACTGGCAATTCTGTAACGTCCAGTTCTTTTTTTTATTTCAAAGCAGTCCAGAAAAAAAATCACATGATAAAATCAAATTTAATACAGAGAAAAAAAAATATCACACAAAAGTCACCGCTATAAGCTAAAAAGAAAAATTTTATGACTTCTTTCGGTATACTCGGTTCAATTTGTTTTTTTTTGTTGTTGTTGTTTCTTGTTTGGTTTCTCGTTTGGTCAACAAAATAAAAGTTATTCTTTTTTTCATTGGCGAAATAAGAAAAATTGAATAAGGAATAAGGAAGAAAAAAAAAGAATAAAAGAAAAATTTATCATACAAAAAACCAAACCAACTTAACAATGAATGAAAATGAAATATATTTTTTTTATTTCACTGGCCACTGATAAATGGTTTTTTGCTTTATTTTAAGGGAAAAAACAAGGGAACAACGAGGGAAAAAAATTTATCATATTTATATATGAACGGGGTGGTGGTAATCGTCGACTTTTATTATTATTATTATTTTTATTTGGGTCGTTAATGTCGAAATAGAAAATCTAAAAATATGACGGCCACCACCACCACATCATAATTTTCATTTTTTTTTGTCAAAAATTTTTTCTTCTTTTAAATATTTTTCACACCTTCCACCATAAATCTTTTTTTTTCCTGTTGAAAATTTCATAATGAAAAAAATCTTCTGCTGAAAATGATGAACTTTTGATGATTAGAACCAACAAGATATTCTCATTTAAAACCACGGAAAACTAACCTTTGACATCTCTCTACGGGAAAAATAATGATTTTTGTTTTCTGTCCGGGTTAAAATTTCCCGTAAGCTATTGTTGTTGTTGAACTTATTTTTTTCCAAAAAACAAATTTTTCAACCATCTTTTGTCATTTTTTGCTTGTTGTTGTTGTTGTTGTTGTTGTTGTTTTTGATCGTTTTTTTCGGTTGTTGTTGTTGTTGTTTTATCTCTCTCCCTCTCTGTACAACAACAACAACATATTGATGTTCAACAACAACAACAACAAAAAAACATTATTCTGGTTCATAAAATTTCTACAATATCCGTGTTGGTATAACGGGTGTCATTGTGATGATGATGATGATGATAAGTTTACTTGAATGAATGTGTTATTTTCTTGTTTCGTTGTTTTTGTTTGCATGTTTAAAAAAGTGATGATATCTCTTAACATTCACAACAACAAGATGACAATAATGTCTTCTGTAATCATATTTTCTCTTGGTTACATAGTAAAACATATTTATGGTGCCTTCTGTATATTTCTTCTGTACAGCAGAATTTTTCTTGGTTATAGAAGAAAATTCTGTTGTTTTTTTTTTTTTGAAAAAAGAATCACCAGAATTTGTGAATTTGGCGACATAGAAACCCATCATCATCATTTATGATGGTGGTTATTATTAACTATTGCTTTGTTGGTAATTTTTTTGTTTTTCTTTCGTTATTATTGACCAAATATAGTGACCAAATATGTTAACATTAGTCAACAACAACAACCAAATCAACAACATCATCCACACCATCCAAATCATCAACAACAAACCAATGGACCATTTTGGACACCACCATCAACATTATCTTTATCGCCATCACAATCGATGATAAATGCAAATCATTCATGGATGGCATCATCATCATCAATGTCACAACGACAATGGCCAATGTTTCGTGAAAATCATCAACAACAACAACAACAATCATCTTCTTTTTCAAATATACCATTATTATTGATGCCTGAAGGAATTAATTTTTTAAAAGGTCAGTAAAAGATTCAAGTGATTTATTCTTGAAAATGTTTTTCTCAATTTTTTTTACTTTGTGCTCATCGCACCATGCATAAATACTTGAATCCAATTGCCTATTTAGGCAATTTTTTTCTTTCCTTGAAGTCAGTTTGTTTCGATTTGTTTTTTGGTTGTTTTGGTTGTTCGGTCTGGTTCAATGTATGTGTGTATGTTTTTTCCGTTTGTAAAGATAAAAAACATCAAATTCTTAAATTGTAAAGAAAAATATTTCTCAAATGATTTATTGGCCAACAATTCATCATGGACAAATTTTTCTTGCTGTTTGTTTGTTTGTTTTCGTATTTACCTTATGGACACAATTCATTCATTCATTCATTTTGTTTCCCTCGATATTTATTCCAGTTTTTTTTGTTTGTCTGCGATGCAATCATATCGTTTTGCATTCAAGAGAGCGAAGAGAGAGAGAAACATTTAAAAAATGAAAATCTTTTTTTCGTTTTGCCATATTTCTTCAAAAAAAAACATGATGGGGAAAAAAATGTAAAGAATCAAACAAACGAAAAAGAAAATGATATTTAAATCGATGAAAAACATTGAAAAATAAATTTCAAATCGTTTTTTCTTCTTTTGGACCGAACCAGACTTTTGTTGTTGTTTGTTGTTTGTTGTTGTTGTTATTGAAATTTACCTGAAACTGAATTCGGTTTTTTATGTTGTTTCGTTTGTTCGCTTGTTTTTCCTTTCTAAACGCATACAACAGCAGAATTTCGTTGGTTTGCGTTATTGCGAAATTGATAAAAAACAAAAACAAGAAAATTCCTATCATCATCAGCCCGAAATAACCCGATATCTTTATTAGCCTTGTAATGAAAATGAGAATAATTTTTCCTTTGTTTAGTTTGGCTTTTTTTTCTCAGCCAAGCCAGAATGAATCAACAACAACAGCCAAAAAATCGATTCCAATTTAGTTATCGTTATCGGTTGTTTGTTTGTTTTGTTTGGTTGGTTGAGATAAATAAATTTTCGTTTTCCCTTTCTTCTTTTTTCAGCTAATATCACCATTCGTTACATAATCAGGAAAAAATTTCAACAACAACAATGATGACAGCAGCAGCAACGAAAAAATGAAAAAAAAATTGAAAATTTTCTAAATAAAAAACCATTATCTTTACTTTCGTTTTTCTGCTGTTGCTGCTGGTACTATAGTAGTATTTAGTCAAATAATATTTTATTCATTTTCTCGCTTGATTGTTATGGAAATAAACATCATAATCATTGATTCGTTGCTTTCGTTGTTATACCCGATCACAAACACCTAAATACAAAATGGCAGCGAAAAAAATTCATTTTTATCGATCGATATTTGTTCAATTTCGTTTGGCTTGGTTTGGTTTGGTTTTCATTTTTTTTTTCGGAGGGGAAAGAAAAACATGAATACGAAGAAATTGCCTTGCTTTGCAATGATTGATTGTATGGTAAAGTATTTATAGAGAGAGAAAAAGGCAACAACAACAACAAAGCAAAATCTCATATCTTTTTCTCTCTTTCTTTCATACAAATCTTTCTTGAGCTTTATAGTAAACAAACAAACAAACATAGTGAATGAATGAATGAAAATGGTACAGAACTTATGGAACGATACAAAATTTTATCAAGTTTTTTGGCTATATTGTGGGTGTTTTTGTTTGGTGAACTTTTTCAACTACTAAATCCACTATTCGTTTTTTTTCATATCCTGTATATCATGACTTACTACTGGATTTTTATTTCTTGGCAAAGAATTTTTTCTTTTCAGTGTTTAGTTTGTCAATGGAAAGAAATGAAAATGAAACGGATACAATAAGTTGAAGGGGAGAGAGTGAGAGAGAAAGCAAAAGTTATATAAAAGGCTTTAAGACCAGAAAGTTGGGAATAAAAAAAAATATGGTCCAAAACCGAGAGAGCGAAAAAGATTTTGAATTTTTAAATAAAAATTCAAGTATCGGGTTAAGGAATTTGTTTTTTCTTTCGGGTTCTTTTTCTTGGTTGTTGTTCTGGTTGCTGTAATAAGAAAGATAGCCCTTTTCAACAGCTGCCATCATAACTTTGTGGTTTTGAATTTTGACATTTTTCCTTTTTATATTCGGCAAATAAGGCAAAACAAAACCGAAAAATATGCCAGGGAGAAAAAAAAATGATCTAATGATAACAAATGTGTGTTTAGAAAAAAATCTCGTAAACATTTCAAACCGAAGCAAAGCAAAGCAAAACCAAACATGGATACATTTTGAAAAAAAAATATTTAAATTTTTTATTGAAAAAAAAACAGTGTTTGGTCGTCCTTGATTGTTTTTCTACTGGATTTTCATTCTGGGTTCTTTTTTTGTTAAAAATGACACTGGGAAAATTACCCAAATTTCGAATGAATTCCGTTATTCCGTTGCTGACGACGACGACGATTGTTCGAATCAAAAATGACATTTTTTTCTGTAATTCAATGCAGAAAGCAAAGCAAAACAAAGCAAAAAATTTCACAGAAAAGATTGAAAAATGAATTTTGGAAAAAATTAATCTTTTTCACAGCCAAAAACAAAACGAGAAAACAAAGCAACATTCAAATCAAATCAATCATTTTCTAGTCCATTTTAGTAATAATCGGATTTTGTTTTGCGAAACATTTCTCGACTAGAAAAAGTCTCTCAAAATGAAACATTTTTCAATTGTTTTTAATTATGTTGTCTAAACTTTTGTGTTTTGTTTGTCGATCTAGCCAGCAAGCAAAAAACGTGATAATAATCATTCCAAAGAATTTTTTCTCCTCTCCCATTCGACTTGTGAACTTTGATTTTTCTGATTTTCTCTTTATTGACTGAATTACTGAATTACCGAACAATCCAATTATATGTGATTGGTTTTTTTAACCCCTCTTCCCCCATCGAAAAAAATAAATAACCCTCAACAATATTCTTCTTGTTGTTGGACAATCATCATCATTTGAAGAAATTTGATCCTTTTTTCAATTGAATCCAACAAACATTGAAAATGACCTTACCAATATTAAACTGGATTAAAATGAAATTTTTCTTTTCTTCTTTTGGTTCCTTTCGTTTTTCTTCATCTTCTTTGCTTCGTCGTTTCAATCAATCAATTTGGTTGAATGGATTTTTTTTCTCTGCTTTGGCTTTCCAAGAATTAAATATATTTGGGATAACTAAAGTTAATATTTTTATTGTTATTATTATTAAATTGTTAACACTGCAGCAGCAGCTTCTTTGTGCTACCACTACTGCTGCTAGATTCTTTATTTTCAACCAAAAAATTAGCCCAAAAAACTTTTCCATTTAATTTGATTTGATTCAGTTTTCCACAAACAGAAAAAAATGTTCATCTCTGGATGATGGTAGTAGCAGTGGATTGATGCAATTTTATATCCACTTCATTCAAAGCCTTGGTTGTTTTCTTTTAAATAATTTTTGTTTTGATTCAAATTTCTTTCTTTGTCGTTTGGAATTTTGTGTTAACCACCACCACCAACAATATATGTCGATATGGGAATTGAAAATTTCTGGATTTTCTTTTTCATTAATTTCATCATCATCATTATCAGCATCGGTTATTGTTTGTTTATTGAACTAAATTCATTATGATGTGAATTCACATTGTTATTGAATTGAATTTCTCTCTATTGTTGTTTTCGTTGTTGTTAATCCTTAATTCTAATTGAAGGAATGATTTTTTCCCCTTTCCTTCAAAGTTCCATTGAATCACTGTTGTTGTCGATTTCGTCAATTCATTCGGTTTGAAAATCAAAACCAAAAAATAAAATCTTTGAGTTCAAGCCAAAAAAAGTTAAAATTCACTCAAACAATTGAAAAACAAAACAAAATTTTCATTCATATTTTTATTATTGATCCAGATTTAACTTTTCATACAGACACTGATGATGATGCTTTCAATGATGTTGTAATCAACGAAAAGACAAAGATAACATTAACTTTCAACTTGAATATATATTCTTTTTTTCTTTCCAAACTGATTTTTTTTTTCATTCAAGTTTTTTTTTCATTTACACTTTGTTCGTTGGGGTTGATTCTCTTGATTCATTTTTTCATTGGAAACCAAAAAAAAAAAAAAAAATTTCCCCAACGCCCGAAAAATCAA